TTCAAAATCACTTGGTGCTACGGGTGCCTGAGTTAATACATCATCTGGCAGCAAAAAAAGAAAAATCTGCAGGAGGAATGGAAGGTTAGTGCTTGCTAAGTCTCAAGTTTGATGATGCCTGTAGCTGGTTGCCTATTTAGAGATGCTTCTGGAGAATGTGATCTCCAATTCCCACAACGAAAAGGAGATCAAGCCTGAATTGGTAGACCCCAATAGCATGCATAATACATAGGGTACACAATGCTAACCCATTCATTGCCAGCCATAGCAATGTAGTGGATACTGAAAAAAGAGGCTCCAAATTTTCTCACCGAGTCACCTGACAATTCAAATGAACTAGTTATATACTTGTGAGGAGTAAGAAAATATGAACTGGTGGTAAAGAAATGGGATATACTTCCTGAAGGGTCACTTCCAAGATACCAGCATCTGTTCCAGTACTAACAACAATCTTGGTACCAGTTTCATCCCTCAGATAGTTGTAGAATCTTCCAATAGCTTTTTTTCTGATATCATAAGTGACTCTATTGACTTAGTTGATGCTGGTGCCTATGTGGTTATCAGCATCACTGGGATGATTTCCAGGACATGCTTTACCAGTACTGCAAGTACAGCCGATTCCATTTTGCTTGCCCTTTCTATATATTCCTGGATGTTCTCCTTGCTGTCTGTCTGAGCACAGAGCCTCACTGAGTAGTGCCTGAAAGTTTAATTTCTATGCTGAAAAACGTCATCTATCAATACTGGGATTCAATGCCAAGGATGTTACTGCCAGCTCCTTTTTCAGCATCAAGGAATTGCCAGTACCAGTTTTTGGAGCTGTGTGTAAAAGATATTCATAGACATGTACTTCTTAGGTATCTGACAGGTCTTAGGAACTTATTTCTTAAAAAGTCCTAAGTGATGTCTATGGACTGCTTTAATAAACAGGGTTTATGATAGGCATCCCACTACTTATGTACTCTTTGTGAAAAGGAGTGACAATACTGTGCACCAGTCTAATATACAGCCAGATACAGTAGGCACGCATGAGTTTGCAGGAAGCATCTGACTACTGCATGATGGATAGGGCTTAAATCCCCAAAAAATCAAAGACCAGAGACCATCAGGTTTGGTGTCCACCATCAGGAGAAAGTGCAGGGAAGTACACTACTAGTCCAATAGGAAAAAATATCAAATGCTAAAGAGTAGTAGTGTGATCTGGCCAAGTTCTGTCATGCTGCCATGGAGGGAATAGTTGGGTGGCTTCTCCATCTTTCATACCCTTATGTGGCTATTTCAAGAATCAAATGGCATATTTACAAGCCCAACAGACAATGCTATTCAGAAGAATCTCCTTTCCTGTATATGAGGCAAAAGAGTGCTTACACTGATACACACCTAAAGAAGAGAGAGAAATTAGAGAATAAGCAAAGTAAAGAACTAAATCAAGCCATAAAGTGGGCACATCTACACATGCAAATAATCTGGGAGCCGTTTAACTTGAGAGCAAACTCTCATAGGCACGTGTTTACATGTGCAGGGATGCAGAAGCAGATTTGCTGTTCTTAGCAGCAGATTGCTTCCATTCCCTGAGGCCCTACAATGGGTCCCTGCAGGCACCAGGGGGAGCTCTAGGCTCCCTCTAGGAGCTAGACCATGGACCAGGAGATGACTGTCTCCTGGCAGGGACTGAGACATTGCTCCCTGCCCCCAGGAGCTGCCTGCTGGTGGGGTGGGCTCCAACACTGAAGCCTGGGTGGGGACAATGTCTCCCAGCCCCCACAGCAGGCAGCTCCCAGCCCCCGCTATGCGATCATAGGGCCCAGGCTGGGAGAACCTTATCTCCCAACCCCAGTCCAGCAGTCGTGGGGCCCAGGCAGGAAGATTTTTCTCTCCCAGTGCCAGCTCCATGTTCGCATAGTTGGTTCTGGGAGATCCTTGCCAGAAGAATCTCCCAGTGCCAACCCAGCAACCATGGATCTGGCTCTGGGAGAAAAGGATCTCCCAGCCCGGCCCTGCGACTAGGGCTGTGTGAGGTTTCAGACAAAGCTTCGGATCTGGAGAAGCTTCGGATGCTTTGGGGTCCGAAGCAGCACGTCCAGGTGGAAGCGCTGGCCTTGTTAGGCTTCCCGAAGCGGTTCAGAGCTTCTGAAGATCTTCTTGAAACTTGGAAGGATTTGTGGCCTCAGTAAGAGCTACCAGCCCTGCAGTTTTGACCCCCCCTGTGTTGTAACACACAGCCGTGACATGAGTTTGGCTTTCAAGAATTTGTGGTACAGTTCCCCCCAAACCCTTGCACCGATCTTCTTGAAACTTAGCAGGTTCCATGCTCTCAGCAGAGGCTACAATCCCTGCATGTTTCATCCAAATCAGACAAAAAACAACAAAGTTATAGCTATTTAATTGATTCCCCATTATACCCTATGGCCAGATCTCCGAGGCGGCTCCGAATCTTCCGAAACGCTTCAGCCGGATCGAGGCGGAAACCCAGTCTGGAGCTCCAGATCAGATCACAGCCATCCGAAGCGGCCAGATCTGAAGCCGGATCGGATCGCTGCCAACTCACACAGGCCTACCTGCGACTGCAGCACTCAGGCTGGGAGATAAGGATCTCCTAGTGCCAGCCCCGCAATCGTGTAGATGCCTGACTGGTGTGCTACTATGTATGTGGTAACTATTCACGAGTATATTTGCTACTTGCAAGTAGCAAATTTACTCATAATTAGAGTCAATTACTGTGCAATAAGCATCTGCATGTGCAGATGCAGTAATTAGCTCTACCATGCAGTAAAACATCTCGTGTAGATGCGTCCAGTAAGCAGTAGAAAACCTTTACATCCTGTTGCACTCAGTAAAATGTTCTTCTTGAGATTAGTGAAAATGAGCCACAGAAATCAGAGGCAACGATCGCCGACCAGTGATCTGGCTTTAGAGAGCCTACTGTGAGGCTCGTATTAGTGGCATAGTCTGAGAGAAGAAATAATTGGTGTTACTTTTAATTTTCAAAGAAATATCCCTATGCAAAAGGCAAGCACCACAGAAAAGGAGCAGAGCCTGGGACATCTAGAGGGGGAGATGGAAAAGCATCAGTATTGATTTCAAGACAAACCCTATTTCATTGTCAAACTGGAAAGGGCATTTCAGCTATACAAAAGATTGTATTTTGTTATGCCACACACACACAGGCTTTAAAAAGTAACAATGGTTTAATTAATGAAAAAAAGGAATGCACAATTCCTTAACATTGAAACAAAGGAAAGCAAATGTCTAGATAAGTCCCCTATCACAAGAATCCATGTTCCTAAGCTAAAAATATTTTATTCAAAAAACACCCCAAAACAACAGCAACTGTCAATCAGTGATTGTGTTGCTAGCAGCGGTATGGTGGCTAGTGATAAGGCTTTCTTTTGTATTTGTACCTATCATCAGACTGCACGCTTGCAAATGTGTAACTCGTCTAGCCCAGCTTACAAGTTGGATGTACAAGTCATCAATAAACATTAATTAAAGTGGCTATTGAAAAGACTACAGTTATGCAGAGCTGGTTACACAGCCTGGAGCATAATACCGTCCAAGGCAATAAGAGTCTCTTAGAAGGAACTTCTGGATAACTTGCTTCTTGTGAACTACATTATCCCAAAAGGGAAAGCTTTTAGGCAACAATGGAAAAGTCTGGAGTTTACCACATGCTGAAGTATAGCCAAAAAAAAAGAAAAGAGAAGACCGTGGGGTATAAGATAACGCAGTCGTCCTATACATAAAAAGTGCTGTCAGAAACAATGAACAATTGTTTTCCATAGCCACTGGGGTAAGAGGAAGAAGAAATTAGCTTAATTTGCAACAAAAAAAGATTTAGGCTGGATATTGAGGAAAAAAACAATCTTTTGGGGTGGAGAAACACTGGAACAATCTACCTATGGAAAACTGTGAAATCTTCTTTATTGGCAAGTTTTAGAAAGGGTTAAGACAATAATCTCTCAAAAATGGGCTAGGCATACTTGCCTTAGTGCTGGGGATTGGACTAGAGCAGTGGTTTTCAACCTTTTTTCATTTGTGGACTCCTAAAAAAAATTCGAATGGAGGTGCAAATTCCCTTTGGAAATTTCAAATGGATGTGCAGGCTCCTTTGAATTGTAAGTGTGGGTATTCACATACTTTTGAGTGATTGTAGTTATATTTTGTGAACCTCCTGGGGTCCGTGGACCACAGGTTGAAAATCACTAGACTAGATTTCTTGAGATCCCTTCCAGCCCGGTAGAAATGATTCTATAATTTGGATATAGATCAGAAGCAAATCTGGATATCCTATTTTCGTGGCCATGGCATGGGGTGCCACATGCTGTACATTGTGGGGAGATTACACAGTCACTCCAGTTATCTCAAGATAAAAGAATACGGCAAACCCCCAAGAAACCACTCAGAACAGCCCAGATTGTTGAGTCATTGTTACTGAAACAACATGAAGTAATTCCTTGTTTGAGGTATTTCCTTGGTTACAACTGGAGGTGAGAGGAAGCCTCAATTTAGGTAACTGGAATACACAGAACAAAAATCCTTTTTTAAATAGCATCACTTACTGCTAAATAGAGAACAGGTCTGTATATTTTTAAAGCATTTCCTTTGAGTTTATGAACTTCATTCAGCCTGCCTCCCCTCTATGCTTATCTTCAGCCACAGAACAAAGTAACTGTTGTGGCTCAAACAGCTAACTTTATTCAGGAAATGGCTTCTTGCTATTTCCCTCAACAGAAACACTTTTAAAATGTGTAAAGACATGTTATATCAGACTAAGCCCTATATTTTTGACGATTTTTAGAGTAAAACCACATTAGACAGAAGATGAGTAACCTAGTTCAATTTAATTTGGGTATATTTCCCTACTGAAAGAAATAAGGAAATGTGATACATTTAATCAGATGATTTGGATGTATTTCCTTTGAAGAGGGAGGATGGATGGAGCAGCAAATAGGAAAGAGAGAGAATGAGCAAAGGAAAACATTATACCATCATACTTTTACCTTAATACTTGCAGCTCTTCTTCAGAGTTCTGCACTTCATCTCTGAGCCGTCGCCAGCGGAGCAAAGCTTTCAGTTCCTGCTGCTCTCTTGCTTCATCACATGGCAGCTGCTTAGTATACAAAAGCACAGTTCATTGTTGTTTGTTGTCCTCACTGGTAAATAATTTCCTGATGTAAAAACTTGTTTTGTTTCCCTTTAACATGCAAAAGGATCAGAGAATGGTACAAACATCCACACCCTGGTTGGAAATCCATAGCTACTGTACAAAGAGTTAATAGCAGTACAGAGGAAACGGGAGCCTCACTGGGTGCATCAAATCAATAGTCGGTTAAATATTTCTGCCTGAGGAAGGAGATAGGCATGTTGTTTTCCCCTCAGTGACTGGGAATAAAAGAAGCAAACATACAATCCAGATACCTGGCATATCAGTTCTGGCTGCATCTTTGCTCTTCCCAGCCTTGAAAGCAGAAAGCTATCTGTGTCCTGATTTCACCCCTCTTTCCTAGTATCTCTGCCACACTGGTGAAAGCTCTCTGTTGTATCTTCCCCTTTCCCCCCCTCCCCCACAACCAAAGGAATATTTGCAGGAATGTTTTCTAATAAAATATACACCAGTTTGTCAGCTTACAAGCTAACAACTAACTGTTGCTTTCCCCTTGTGGAAAAATGGTTTGATATTCTCTTGCACTACCGTAATATTTCAGCTGCAACTGAAGTTATTGTGATGTCTGAGAGTATATTTGTATTCTAATTAAAATACAGCTATAAAACTACCTAATGATTACAAAAAAAGAAAGGAACAAATACTTTTTATAGTCTGGTAAATCAGTAGATATATAAACCATCCAGTTGTGATTTTTGTTGCTTGCTCCTTTCCTGCTCTCCAAAATCCTATTTGATGCCGTGTAATTTTTCAATTGGCTCAAAACAGAGTAATGACAATGAACCAAAACAGCTTTCAACAGGGGACTGACATTCAAGTGGGAGTCTCAGAAGTATTTGAGGATAGGAAGGGAGACATAATTGAATAAAGACAACCTTTTTCCTCCATAAGTGTTGTGCTCATAAAGATTTTGATTTTATTTAGTACCATAAATATGCCTAGTACTTTATTAAACAAACAAAAACAGTGTCATCCAAGAAGTAATTGCAATGTAATGCCCCAGTCCTACAAACTGTTTAATACATATGGAGTTACATTGACTTCAACAGAGATCTACATGGCTCTGCATAGTCTACACATGTAGATCAGATTAAAGGACTGGGCCTAGTTAAGACAAGAGGAAGGGGAGACGAAAAAGACTCAGGAAATGGCTGAAATAGAGAGATATGATGATGACAAGAATAATAAGATCAGTGGTATCCAACTTGTCTGGTCCTGCAGACTGGATGAGTGGCATAAGGCTGGTCTGCAGGCCCAACCCAGTGTGTGGGGCTGGTCTGAGGGCCCAATCCAGAGCACAGGGCTGTGCCATCACACCAGCAGGACTCCCCATAGGTCAGGAAATTTGTCAAAGGGATGAGTGGCAGGAGTATGAATTGTTGCAGTTCCAGAAGCCACAGCAATTAACACTGCCACCATGCTCTCAATTACAAATTTAGAGACCTGTAGGGACCCCTGTGGGCCAGATAACATGGCTCCAGGAACTAGATCAGGCCCCTGGACCATATCTTTGTCACCCCTCCTTTAGATCACTACAGTGACAGATACATCTCAGGCATCTCTTAAAAAAACAACAAATTAATTTTGTTTAGCCTCTTTGAAGAAGTTTTGAGGAGGAATGTAAAATGAGGAAAAGGTGAAGATATGTTGAACAGCATCAAAAGGAAAGGTAGTAGCAACTCTGCTATCATCTCTTCACATGTCAAACCTAGTTCATCTTCATCATTATCCTCCAGCTACCAGGAAAGTTACCACTTTCAGGATTACTAGCATTGTCTATTATTTCAGATTTGAGGAAAGAGTTGAAGTGAGTGAAAGGGTTGGAGAGAAACTAACTAGAGAACAAGAGGCAATTCTGAATAGCAATTTTCTGGCTTGATAGTCATCGAAACAAAGATGTTTCAGTTATTATTTGCACTGATCTATACCTTTGAAAAGATTTGGGTTCATTGTCAATCGATGTGGGTATAAGTAATGGTAAGGCAAGTTTACAAAAACATAATCCAATGGTATCATAGCAGAATTAGCCTGCTAACCTACTACTATTAAATACAGATTTACAGTAATTTCATTCAAATGAATATTAAAAAGCATTCAGCTGGGAACCTTCTTGATTTCTACCGTATAAAACAAAGAGGCAACTTATTGTCTTTGTACCTGCTGTGCTGCTGCCCAAAATACATCCTCCAGGTGAGTAGCAAAACCTTCGCTGATCCATTCTTCAGTCCAATCACGAGCACCAATGGCCAATCCAAACCAAGCATGAGCAATTTCATGGCATAGACGTGTTCCACAGAGATGGCTCCCTCCAGATAATATGCTCTGTGACAGGAAGATGATGTGTGGGCTGCATAATATGAATGAAGGACAAATACATAATAGACCAGTTACAGCATGCATTGCATGGCTATAGTAATATGTAGACTTTATTAGTTTTGTCAGCCTGTTATTACTGTATGCATGCTAGATCATGACAGATAGTTTATAGCTCAGGCGCTTTTAGGAATTAGGTTGTACTTTATTGTTGGCTGGCAAAGATTCAAGCTAAAGTTCTGCCAAGCAGTTGTTTCATATTCAACCATCAAACAGCTATTACCTGTAATAAGTAACTTAAACCACAGTTTTATATTTTTCAAATTACAAGGTTGATTTATTTCAGTGGAAGCATTTATATTAAAGCTAGGATAATAAAAGAAGAGCAGGCGTGAATATGGACAGCAGGTATTTATCAGTTAAATGATCAAAGCTGGAAATAAATACAGAAAAAATGTTTTAAAAAGAAAACAAATCACTATCCAAAAGCAACAAAGAACATATGAGGTAATGTGCACACACACAAGTCATATTTGATTTGTTACAATCAAGACAAGCTAACAAAACACAGTATAAGGACCATATACTATTATCCCCTTAGGAGGTGGAGGGTTGGAATTAGCAGTCTTTTTCCTTCACCTATTTCCATAACGTAAATGTGGATGCATGGTGTGTTCTTTCCCACTCCAGAAAGTCACCAACATTATGTAAAAGAACTCTTGTAACTCTGGGGTAGGGCAATCAGATATGGCAAGAAGATGGGAAAACAGCTAGTATATGTGATCTGGTCCATTCAAGAAAATACATAAATTGTATTGCAAGTCTTCTGCTAGAGCTGGACACAGGCATGGGCAAACCAGGTGGCCGCCCAGGGCTCAGACAGAAAGGGGGCCCGAAAATGGTAATTTTTTTCCATTGTCCAATTATTATTATCATTATCTCTGGCGAAAGGAGACCCAATACTAAAAGTTCACCCAGGGTGACCAGGAATCTAGGTATAGTACTGCTTTCTGCTCTTATCTTCTGCTCTAAGCTAGACTGTGCCACTCACATGGTAAGCAGAAATTTACCCATCCTATGGAGTTACCTACTACTCTTGAAATAAGGTGCCACTCAGTCCAAGTGTGACAGGGTCCCCAGGGGCTACTACCCAAGGGGCTAAAGGAGCAGGAATGACTGCTAGTGCCACCGATAGGAGAATTAGAAAGGGCAGACAGGCACAATCCTTTCAAGCAGATAGAACAACATCTGAAAAATATGTGATTGCTAATCCCAGGGTTTCTCTGTCTCTACATAATCCATATCCCAACTGTTTTCCCAGGTCCAGACAGCATGCAGCAGCAATACAATAGTAAAGCTCCAAAACCACAAGACTTCAGAGGTAAGTTTGGCTTCTATACCATGGGAGGGGAGCACATGGCCTTAAGACATTTCCAAGAGGCAAATATTATTCGTTAGGTTCTAAAGAGCTTCCCCACCCTGCCTTACCCTTCCGTTAGAAATGTTAAAACACCTACAGCTCTCTTGCAACTAGTCTACATGTCTGGATCTGTGAATCTAAGCTATTATGCTGTGTGCCTAAACCAAAGATGGCTATTGTGTGTGTGTATTTTTATACAATAGTAAGTCTAAAAAGCAGATTAATGCATTCAAATCAGCTAATATCACAACACATATTGCAAGAAGCTAAACTATCAAAGGAATTAAGTCACTGAGAACAAAGAGAAAGAATAAACAGGACCTCTCCAAATGCCTGCCAAAACCAGCTCAGATTATTAAGAACAAAAAAAAAGTCAGAGAGAAAGAAATAAAAAGTACAGAAGCTGCAGAACACGATGAGACACTCCCTTTTATTATAAAGTCCCTGCTGAGAAGAATAACTGTAACTTGGAGGTATTACTGTGGTCATTTTTAAGTAAATGACCCCTAACTGTGGCATGTGCAGCACTACAAAGAAAAACCATAGAAAAGCCAAGTAAATAACATTCCAGACGTACTGCTGGCAGTGTTTCGGCCATTTGGTTAAACAAAACAAAAGTAACTCCATGCCTTATAAACAGGCTCACTGGAGGGTTTGCATTTCAAGTACCCCCTTTATGGATGTGAAAAGCAAAGGTAAAAATTCTGCTTTCTGGTTTCACAGTTTCTAGTCTAAGGTGCTTAAATAACAGGAATGTCACATTTTGACAATATAGTCCTTTTATGAAAAAATTACAAAGATAGTTTTGGTGAGGAACTCCACAGGTGTCATGTTTGAGCCTCAGTGCAAATACATGGTTAAGTGATTCTTAACCATGGTGTCAAGGCACCCTGCAGTGTTGCAAGATCCTTCCAAGGGTGTTGCAGCGCCTCACCTCTGTGCCAGGAAGTAAGCAATAGCTTCTCAGCCCACCTGGTGCCAGGCACCCCAGCATGCCACAGAGAAGCAGTGCCTGTGGCTGCTCTCTGCCCCCGGCAGCCTCTGGACTCCCAGCAGCACGCTCTGCCAAGCACACGCTGGGGGATGTGAGGTCACCAGGCTGTACTTTTCAGCCTAGCTCATCCCTCTGTTCCACATATGCTCTTGGCCCAGTGGGAGAGCCACAGATGCATGTGGCTCTGGCCACCTGCATATGAGCTGCTGGAGTAGTAGCTGTGCTGGTGGGGGCACCTCTTGTCCCCTCAAGTACAGTTCTGGTTACAAGGACTAGTTCTCAACCTCTACATTTCCAAAAGTTATGGAAGGGTAACTTGAGGCCAAAAAGGTTGAGAATCACTGCTGCAGAGCTTCCTATGAGTCTGGAAAATAAAGGCACATGAAAAGGCAGACTTTCATTTTAGGAGCAATTATACTCATCCCATCCCTTCCCCATAAAATACTTCTTTTCAGTTTGTTCTCTTTCATCATTCTGACTCTTCTTCCTGCTCAGAGTATCCCAGACAGATGTCTGACCGCAGAGCAATTCATGGTAATTACCTGTGTGTCCCAGCCTCACCCATCCCAAGGTCTAAACTCGTTGCCTTCACAGCGTTTCCAATGCTCACTAGTTTAGGAAGAAATCCGAGTCTTCAACTACAAACCTATGTATTTGCCTTCTAGAGATAGGATTTTCAACTTCTATTTGAAGACCATAGGTTTAATCCCCTCTCTCCTCAGAGGACATTATATTCTAATGTACAATATAGGATGTCACCCGTATTGGTGGCTACAATATTGTCCCTCATGTCTTGATAAATGCAATAGAGTCTCCATATAAAAGCTAAGATAATAGGAATAATGATAAAATTGTAGCATCCAGTAAAATTTCCCAAAGGTATGGCTTTCAACAATTTATTGTTAGGGACCACTGTAATTCAGGCTCCGATGAGGGGAAAAGCAGGCTCCCTGCAGACCCACCAGAGGCAATTTCAGGTATTTTTCTCTCCTGCCTCTGACTTAGGGAGCCTGCCATGCGGTTGAGTACCATTGAAGAGCAGCGCAAAGGCTGTTTGTCAGCTGTTTAAAAAAAGTAAAGCTCACAGTGTATTAAACAACAACTTTTAAGTAAAGCTCACCACTTAGAATTCTTAATGAAACCATTATAAAAATTTTTTATTAAACATCAACTTTTACTTAGGGTTGGAAGGGACCTCAGAAGGTCATCTAGTCCAAACCCCTGCTCAAAGCAGGACCGGCCCCAACTATATCATCCCAGCCAGGGCTTTGCTTAGCTGGCTGGATGTGGGGTGAGTGGGGTGAAGCTGGGGGTGAGGGACAGTTCCCCCCTCCCACGTGGCTGCCCCCACAGTCAGATGTGGGGCAGGGACTTACCTCACTCCAGCGCAGGGTTTTTTGAACCCTATTTTGCTTTGCTGCCGTGCAGGAAAGGAGGGGATTTTTCCTCTCCCCTTCTCTGTGCTGCAGGGAAGAGCAGGGCTCAGAAGATCCATATTAGGTGCCTGCCCCTATGGCCAAGCATGGGGCAGAAGGTTCCCCCACTGCAGGAGCTATCCCACCCAGCATGGGTCTCCCAAGCCCTGCTGTGCTCTGCTGAGCAGAGAAAGGGAGAGGGATATTCCTCTTTGTTCCCGCATGGCAGCAAAACAAATGGGGATTGGGAGAGCCATGCCTGCCAGGGGGAGGCCCCTGCAGCAGGGTACCCTGTGCCCCACAGCTGGCTGTGGAGGCAGACACCCGGCATGACTATGTCCGCAGCCCCTTAGGGCAGTGGGGACCTTACCTGCTCCACTCTGGACAGGGCTTTTAAACTCTCTATGAAAGTGGGGAATCGAACAACCTGATTGGCTGTGCTCGAGCAAAGGCTCAACCTGTACTAGGCTGCCCCTGGAAACATGAGGGGCTTCTACAGTGTTTCTGGGGTTCTGCTGCCTTTCTTCTCTGTGCTTCAGGTAAGTATTTAAAAACTTTTTTCCATGCCCTCCCTCTGCCCTGTGGTTTCAGGCCATTTCCAGCCAAAACACAGTTTTCTGAGGCTTTGGGGTAAAAGCTAAATTCCAGGCTTTCCCCTGAAATCATATGCCTGCATTTCTGGAACAAAAAGAGAATGTCTACCGACATCCAAATCAGTTCAACCATTGCAGGTTAGGCTAACCTGCAAAAAGTGAACGAATTCAGGCTCAGACTTTGTGAATGTCTGTCCCTAGTCTTGAAGATCAGATACAATATTTTAGCCCGAATTAGCACGATCTTTATATTTGTCACAAAATCCCAAGGTTTGCAATAATATCTGTGCTGGTATACTTTGGTGCTTTTCACCTGAACTCTTCCAGCTTTTATTCTGACAACTGTATTTTGTCACCTTAAATATTTCCACAGTACAAAACTGAAAACAATGAACTATCTCCAGCTCAGTTTATTTTTTCCCATTTAGAAATCTGGTTTGCTGAATAAGAGAGAGACATATAATGTCTGACCTCTGGTGCTACTCACTGTGACAGATCTTCTCTATCAATGATACTGTCAAAATCAAAATATTGGTGCTGTGTTAGGTATAGATTTTGCAATTTATTCTCAGGCACTGGACAGGTGTAAGGTTTGAAGCAATTTAAACACCT